TATCCCAGAAAGAACGACTGTCTTTAATTGAGGCTCTCTATCGGTAACTGACAGCCACCTGGTTCAACCGAGTCTATGATTGTTTACATTTTAGCAGTGTGCGTGAATGTTCCGGGGCTTCGAACACCGCACTGACCTTGCCCTTTATCCATCGGCCTAACAATTGTTGTGTGACAGGTAGTGCGACAGTCGTTGGAAAGTTATCTAGCAAATTTTCAACTATCCGTTAGTATTTGAGGGGCCTCTTGAATTTATGTCTCAAACAGCCAGAAAAATCACGCCGAGACATAGGAAGTACTGCAAAAGTAATGTGAACACAGTGCCCTTCGCCTTTTTGAGAAGAGATCACCAACTACTGACAAAAAGATATATCAACAAAGAGCATTTTAAATAAGCATGGACAGTCGAGGCAAACTAAAGTTCAGTTTGCCCCAGTTTGTCTTCCCGGATTTGAAATTCCGTTGTGAAAATCTGCTTACAGCTTCAGGCACAAGAAACCCAAGTGCATCAAAGTGACCAATAAAAGACCAAAGATTCCCGCATTCGAACTTTTGAAGCATTCCGCGTGACATCTAGTGTCTTCGCGGACCAACTGCTAACTCTTCTCGTTACTGCACCAGTGTCTTAATCAGTAGATAGCTAGTCATAATTTCAGTGCATTGTGCAGGAAAGTAACTCCTCGGACTGGACTTACGGGCTTGTGATTCGAAAGGCCGCTTCAATTTAGAGTGAAATTTGAGAACTGTGCACATCCAGTTATTGGATAGCACAGCGACTTCTGGTGGACATGAGACATGAAAAAGTGCCTTGACCAAATGGTGACGGTGGTTTTCCGTTTTGCTTAAGACAGTGCTATCTGCAGAGTGTTCTGAGCACACAGTACAATGCCACAGATGTCAAGGTTGGAGCAAAATCCGCTTTCTGCTTGAGAGTCACTCTGGTGGCCTCAGTCTAGTAACTTGCGTTTTGAACTTAACCATGTAAGTGACGTGGATTGAGGCTGTCTGGTGGAAAGTTATTAGCAATTTCAGTTTAACTTCAGTCTTGAACACTAATCGGAGTAAAAAAGACTGGAAATTTCGAAGGGTGGGCTCAAACTTTGTGGCTGTGACACAATTAGTATGTAGGTTTTTGTTTGCTCCGCGAGATTCTCAATCCCATGTTTTCGTAATGCACTACTCATAAGGTTGCTGAAAATTCGTCAACAGCCGACGACCGGTTTCGCTCTTCATGAGGCTCATCAGGTAGACACAATCCCCGAGTTTCCGTCAACCTTAGGTTCTACTTGAAACCAAATTGCACGAAATTAACGCTCATTTGCAAACTAATTTGTTTTTTTGGGAGACTCACATGGAACCCAGCTGAATCTCTCGTTTGCGATGTTCTCAGGCAGCTGAATGTGCTGCACCAGGCCGCTCCATGTTTCAATCGCCACGATTTTTAAGATATCACGATACATGTATATTCGTAACGCACACCACAAACGAGAGATTCAGCTGGGTTCTAGGTGAGTCTCTCGGAAGACCAACTTAGTTTGCAACTGAGTGTATTTCGCTAATATTTGAGTTGTTAAAACCGTGGCCCAAACGGCATAATTGTACAAACCGGTGTACTGTATTCATCTGGAATGGCTCACTCCTCATACTTCATACCGAAATAAGGCTGACAGCTCAGTTGTTAGCTCACAGTTTGCAAATAATTAATTGATTGAGATTTAAATTAATATAGCGTTTTCGGGTACAGTTGCTATCTCATGCGAAAGCCTGGAGACCGTAGGTTCATGTGAGTGACATCACTTTGAGGTGGTAACTGGATTTGTAGAGTCGGTATTCACGTTATTCCCATCTCATCAGTCCTGTCTTGATTAGTCTACGATAAAGCTGAGAATCATCGGAGTTTTGCCCTTATTATGGCGTAGCAAAATCGTATATTCTAGACCATGTCAAAATTTATGCATCGGACTCTTGACGTGCAAAACGAGCACGCACCCTCTACTCTACCAAAGAAAGCTGGACATGCAACCGAGCCGGTGAAAGTGCTCATGCTTGAGCGATGCCAATAGTCTTTACGGTACTTCAAACAGTGACCCAGTAGCTGATCATGTTGCACACTTATGCATGTTTTTCAGCCTAAATTGAAATAACTAACTTGCGGGAAATTACAAGAAAGCTCCATACCTAAGGTACATTGACGCAAACTACTCTGTGCAAACCAATCTACTGTACTTGTTCTGTTTTAACGCAATGACCTTTTTTAGGGTCAAATGTCCCCTTCGGGTGACCTAGAGAAAGTATTAGCCTTACACTATTATTCATACCAAGAACTGACAACCTTGAACGGTCAGTTTAATTAATATTTTGCACTATGTATTACCGAGTAGTAGCAGTGGGTTACATGTTGATTTATGCGCTTTGTTGATAGTCTTCTGAAGGCTTGTGTGATTTGGTTATTAATAGTTTTCGTGGTGCTGGTAGAACGATTCATCTGAAAATTGCACGGCATCAGTTACACTGATTAGTTTCTTTTGTGTTCTCAACTTGTTCCCGTAACCATGGGCACGGCCAAGCAAAACAACACCGCTCAAGCGGTAGATACACTTGTGTGAAGTTCCATGGAGAATATCTATAAGGTAACTCGGATTATGGGTAGCTTTGACGAGCGTTTTAAAATTTTGCCACCAAAAAATGGTTGGTGTGTGCACGGTATAAACTTCAAAGTGGACTTTTAATGACCGTGCACGGAAAAAAAATTTGTATTCGTATTCGTGTTCTAATGCAGCTCTCTCACGGCAGTCCCAGTGAGAGCGTTGATTTTGGGAGACTCAGCAGGCAGTTACCCCGCTGGACTGCTACTACACCTTTTCAAATAACCATCTATTCATCTACTCAGATAATTAACATTCCACCTCATACACACAACGAACTGGTGTAATTTAAATCCAGTGAGGATTGTGATGTGTCAGGTGTGCGGTTTATGATTACTGTTGGTCCACTGAATGATTTGTTTAATTCATGGGTGTTTGCAAGATGGATGGAGGATTACTGGAACAAAGCCTTGTTCGTAACCTGCCTGTAACAGCCCACCAACCATATTCTTCTCAAAAAAAGAACCTTCATCCCGCTTTCGGTGGGACTAGGTGCTACACTGGAAAACGCGTACAGTCGTTCATTCTCTTTCGTACTCCACCAAGACGAGCTACGGAACAAGTATCCAATATTTCACGCTAATTTTGACAAGTGATGTGAGCACTTCCGGCCACAAACTAACAGCCATACGTTTTGTACAAGTGGAACTGATCCCATTCCACAGTTATATCGGAGTCGTGAATAAACTTCTCAATTCATGTAGTAAGCTGATGCTTTCTTTTCGGACTCGGTTGCCAAAGAAAGCTTCTGGCCACGAATTACTGTTACGAAATAACTGAAACTGCCTTTAAATCGTTTCTTAGTTGGTGGTTTCTCATAAAGAAGGTGTACTGTAATGGCTTTGTGCTGCAAGACAGCTTAAGACATTTGACGCAAAGAGTGTCATGCTGCTATCTGGAAAGATGGTGGCCTAGCAATTCTCGCCTAATTGCCCGCAGGTGGCAATAGGGAAGGGCAACTTATCACGAACGGTTGTTAAGTACAGCTGTTTAGCTGACGCTGACCAGGACTAGTTTAGATGCCTTGAGGGTATTTTTTGATGCTGTATTTTCAAGGTAGACGTGGCCTCTAAAGCTCTCTACCGTTTCCGACCAGCAAACTTGAGTGGGATGACTGGTCACAGTTCAAAGGTTTTCTCCACAAAACCCCCTCAACCAGGAGACAGCATAATAGAAGTTTTGAACCATCATGACAATGAGACTGTCCCCTGTCACAGTTCGTGTCATTCCCAGTGCCTAAACGCTCTCAAACTTCCACATCTGCTTCTACATTAAAAGGACTCCTCAGTGAGGCCTCAGTAAGCGCTTAGCGTATCTTACAAATGATACAAATAATCTGATGAGGAGGAACCTCTTAGTTCAGAATTCTAATTATTGTAAGGACAATTGTGCTTCACAACAACAGATCCAGTAGGGACAATAAGGCATCCAGATTTTTCTTGCCGCATCATTAGTTATTTGCAAATACGTGAGGAGGAAACTCACTGGCCCCAGCTTACATTGACCTATGTGTAAAAGTTCCTGAAAAATAACCTAGTGAATGACCCAAGCACACCTGTCCAATGAGACTGGATGCGCATGAGCTGTGGCATTGATAAGTTGGTTAGTATTCAGACAATAGTTACAAGTCAAGATGTAAGAGTGGCTGAAACTCGATCTGGAGACTAGCTAAGGGAAGTTCTGTCCGGTGAGGAACAGCTGCTTTTTGAATTCAGTCGTAAGTTTTAGGCCAGTATTATCTGCTTCATTCTTGACAAGCCTTGGGCAGTATGAAGTGTACGAAGAGGATAACTTGCTGTAATTAGGGGTCCAAGCGTGTTTGGCACAAGCACAAAGACGCACTAGGAATAAAATTCGAGTACGGACCCCTAGCTTGTTGGAAGGACATCCTACCAAGAGCACGCGACCTCTGCATTTCAAATAGCTGAAGGTCCTCCCACAGGCGTGCATTTTAGCTCTTACTCCAAGCTCTTAATCCAGTCTAACATTGGAAGACCCACCAATTCCCACTCGACTTTATAACACTTGTCAAATGTGGCTTATACCAGTGCATTTGAAGTGACATTGTATTTATTTCCCATTGGATTTTGTCTTTTCATCTACTGCATGCTACAATCACAGCTAGTCAAAATGTGGGGCAGTCCAAATAGTTCAGTGTTCTGTACAGTAGATTTCGGCAAACCACCCCGTTTTAGCATATCTGCAATCATGAAATTTACACTCTTATAAGTATTTTGAACAATAGCCTACATAGTATATGCATCAACAAACAGACGGTAATAAGGAGGACTTTCAGTTTCCTTCCACAACTTAGAGAACATTCTCTAATGAACTTTTTTGAGGGGTAAAAGTGCTGAGTTCGTTTACGGTCTATGATGATAATGAACTGCATGGCATTTAAAAAAACAAACGAATCGGTAGTGTGATTAGAAATACTAAAAAGAAGATCGATAGTACAATCAAAGCAAATGAGTACAAGCACCATATGAGGAAAACACTCGTACTGTGTACTAAGCAGTGAGTACGAATCAGCTACTGGAAGCGATTGAATGTTGCAGATTGGCAAATGGATGTGTACAACTCCGTCTGAAGAAGAAAAGTAAGCGCACAACAGTATTTCTTCCGTACGTACTCTTGGACTTGGGTAAATAGTTTGCTCAACTACTTATTGATCAAGAATTCGCCTTGGAAATGTTCGCAAACACTGAGCTTCGCCAAAGACCATTCCGGAAAACTGACTAAAGAAACGAGCGGGCGGGTGCTAAATGGCAACGGGTATATTATACACTTGGAAAGTCACATTGAAGTGCGAAAGGAACTAGTAACCACGGTTGTACGACATAGTAGACGTTCCTTTGCAGGATTTTTCCATAATTCGGCAGGATAGTATCAGAAATATAGGTGATAGATTTCGTGGTCGGAACCATACCGCGAAAAACACATAGAATAAAAGACTTATTCAATGCTGTTTTTTCAACAGTTGATTGGTACTGTCGATCGGCAAAAGTAAATCCGATTTGAATCCAATAATCCGGTTGTGGCTGGAGATGGTGCCAGGATTTGGGTGGGGTCAAAAAGTGTATATACTACATTGTGGAGTGTATAGATATGGAAAACAGACATATACAATTTGTTGCATTCTTGAATATTACGCACAGCTCTATTTTGCTCCAAATCTATCTGAAAACGCAGATTAGATCGACACCATGATAGACTGACTGGCTTCTTGAAGGCTAGCTGTTGAGTAAGAATAACTGAAGCATCAAGAAAAGCGAAAAGTGAAACGAAGAGTTTGTCAACCGGAAAAACCGTGACATATCTTTGTGAGATATTCGAAATAGAAATGTAGTTGCTTATAGACGGGGATCTCGGGAATAGTAGGGCGGAGCCAGTGGCTGTCGCTCTGAATCTTCCAAGTCTCGGTTGTAGCTGTTCCCAGGAGCTGCCGGTGCACCAGAGTTGTTAGTCCCCGAGTTCCGTCCGGCTTGCTTGGAGTTGGGATGTTCAATGACGTGGCTAGGGGAGAGAGAAATGAAGTAGACAAACATGTCGCTAGGCTTCATGAGGTTACTTGTGCCTACCAGTTCAGATTTAATTTAGCGAGATAAAGATGGAGCAAAACTATTGGAATTCTTTTGATGTTTTGATATATCTACAGGTCACTCTGGCTCACGCCTCCGAAAATAGGGTTGGAGCATTACAGAGTAGACCATGCGGCTACAAACTTTGAATACTCGAGACAATCAAAACCAAGAAGAATAGTTTACTGCTAGGTCTGAGTTATCTGAAAGTGCAAACCCAATAGGTTGAAATAGCCACGTGAAAAGACACGGATACCACAGTCAGTGCGGCAAATAAGAAGCGTATAAAATGAAAGGGTAATAAGGACTTTGGCTTAACCGCAATGCACCAAACAGAAATAAGTGACAGTCGAGTCGATACTGCCAACGCGTGGCTGCAAAATTTGTTAAACTGATACTAATATCATTTTCAGTCCAACCTTTGCTTATCTGTCTCTTTAGTCCCACCAGTGACTTGATTATTCGTCCATTGAGAGAGCACTCTAAAATCAGTCAGCTTCAGTCATGATCTTGTGCGTCGAAGTTATTCTGATTCGTTAACAGCACTCGACTGAGGAGGGCCTTGAGTTTATACCCTAACAAGGGCAAAAGTGGTTTCCGTTGCCTCTCACGTGGACTAACTGGACTGTCTTATCAGGGCGGTAAAAGTATCGTTAAATAAGTTATGGGAACATGATTTCCAGCCTAGGACCGAGATGGCAGCAAATGAGCAGTGGAGTATGACAAACCTTTGATCACCGAGTGGACTGCGAACCAACACCCAATGGAGTGCACTTTTCTTCAGCCGAGGGGCTTTCGCTTTTCCGTGTTTGCTTTTGTTATTCTTAACTCAACCACATTGGTAGCAGCCATAAGGTGCTGTTGCTCAAAATACACCTATGGGCATTTCGAGAAACCAAGTTGTGCATAAAACCTGAATTACACCATTCCACTTGAGATAAAAGCTACACCGGTGGACAGTCCACGACGGAGTTATTCGTAAGTGACATCGCTATGGCTTCGATGAAAGACCGTTCTCCTAAGAGCAGCTGGATACTGACATTATTGAGTTGTCAAAAAATCCTGTATTCGACAGAAGTCGGCAGACATTTCGGTAGATATGCTCACCAGCTACAGCACACTGAAATTAGGGCCATAAAGTCATCGACTGGGAATTATGTCAATTTCTGAAGTAAGATGTATTTGGGTTCTAAAACCCTCATAGAATCGAAAGGACGTGTTAAACTGATACTGTAACATTTAATGCGGTGCACTCAAGAACACAGTTTAGTAGCTGTCGAATGCTCAACACTAACTGAGAGAGTAAGGTGTCCGTCCATATCTTGTCTACGTTAATCTACTTCGTTGTTTATGACTGAACTGCAACTAATGCGCGTATCCCTTAGGAGCGCTAGGCGCGTAACGTCGTACAAACACCCTGGGAATCCGAACCATGTACGGCTGCTGCAATGATGAGAGCCACAGTAATTGCAATTTAACTGCAAACGATACACCGTCATCCTTTGAAGGCGTTAGTCTTGCCATTAGTCACCAAACCCCAGGTTGAAATGTCTCTCACTGAAACAAAAGTGGCCCCGTCTTGAGTGTGGAATTACTTCACTGCCTAGCGTTGCCATTCGGCTGCATTACAGTATGTCCCCTTCCTTTCTTCATATGTGCCTGACGAGGCCCCATAGAGATCACAATACTGCACGGTGTTCTAAACACTAACAGTATTGGATCGGCACAGTATCTAGAAAATGTACGCGACATTACGGTTGATGATGAGGAGATGGTAGCGATGATTTGTTTGATCGCCCCATTTTTATCGGTGCCTATCGGCTATGAATATCATAATACTAGCTCAATGAACTTTGTAGAATAGGTAATTGGATGTCAAAATGAAATCGCTCCATTTGGTATCCTAAGGTGAGTCGAGCCGTGGTCACATGTCGATTGTGCTTCGGTCCTGAAGTTAATCATATCCTACTTAGAGTTTGACAGTAGTCTACTTTGAAGGTATAGAGCAACGAAGTGCGGGGACTGTTGAATGAATATCATCGGCATCGTCTTATCTGAGGTGAACCATTCTGTGGTTCACCACAGACGCACTTGTGTCTTGTCAGTAAGCCCCCTTCAGAGGATACCCCCTTTCCCTCTACTGCAACATCGTTCTCAAGCCTCTTCGCAGAACTCCAAGCTTGGAAATATACTTTAATTAACATCCTAATATTTTCTCTATCCGAAAACCTCTTAATTTGATCCTATTTGGCTTGAACCCGGTGTGGCAAGGAAGATATTGCCAGCAAAAACGATGACGTGTAGATAAGCACTTTCCCAAATCGTTTCGACTTACCACCCTAGATTATTCTCATGAACGTTATTAAATGAATTGCTGTATCTCAGATAAGTTGTAGAAAGTAATGTGAAAAACGCAGCCAAACTGGAGGAAAAGAAAAATGACACATCCATTCTGTACGCGGAAAAGGCAGGTTTCCGCCTATTTGGTATAGATTATTTCCCTTAAAGAAGATTATTGAATTAATAGCCGTCTAATGGATGCAGCACTACAGCTTGCAGATCTGAGGGTTCGTTGAACCCATTCTTAGGCAATAATCCGCCGTCTAATTTGAGTGAAGTGTCTTTATTGAGACAAAAAGTTCTTAGAATAGACATGTCCATAATAGTGTAGCTCCAGCAAGCCGAGAAGGACAGCCAGCCTCACAGAAAGCGAAACACCTCATTTCCTTGTGGTAATTGATTGTTTGGCCTGGTAATTGCATACAAGCGCCATTACATTTGCGAAAAATTGGGCAGGTTGCATAGCCCATAGTTGGGCCCCAACTATGCGAAGAGTCGGTTTTCATCTTTAACACACTACAAGTTCCAAAACGAACAGTTAGACTTATAGCTTCTCGCAACTTTGAAGGAAAATGCAGCTCATAAACTAATCTATGGCGTCTCGTATAAGTCGCAGTCACGCAAATCAATTCAAACTCATTTGTCGCCCCGCAGGCGCACGGTACCCACAGTTTGAATCAGCCAGTCTCTTATATAAACGATTGTGACACCTACAGAAGAGAAAGAATTCGTCTGAGTCTTGAGTTATAGTGACGAATTGAAACGGATTATACAGTGCTCTCCCATAGATACTAAAAAACCACGGTTCCCGATTTGTCAGTTCTGCTTTAGTCAATTCCAAGTAACCTGTGTTTTGTGCAAAGTTAACCAGGAATTCCCCACTTCAAAGATTCCTTGCGAATTTTTCTCTCTAGGAAGCCGAAATTGGAGCTGCTGTGAGATGGGTGCATCTGATGTGCTGCTTACGTTCTTCATGTGTTTACTCAGCATCTGGGCTGAGTTGACTGTACAAGCATACAAGTTTATAGATTTATTGATGTTTGTCTTTATGTGTATTTGTGTGCTATATGTGTATGTGCACAATCGCATTCGAAAAACTACAGTGAACTTGGTATCAATGACGCAATCGCAAACGGGGATTACCGCACACACAATTTACGTGCCTACTAGTTTCTCAGCGACTCAAGGCATGTAATTTTGATAGTTATAGATTACTGATAGATAAGTAGGCTGGATGTTTTCGGCAGGATGACGTGTTTCTTGTTTAGTTGATGAAAAGCTATTGTTGTCCGACTTCAACTCCGGGCGGGAAGAAATCTTGGTTGAGGTCGCTTACTATTCCAAAGGGGAAGAGCTCCCTACGAATCTGTTCACAACTAGAGTTCACCGTAGGGTTCACTGTGGGATGCAGAGTGTGATTTCCTTTCTTGTCTAAGTTGACCAGGTTACCAGGATCTGGCCCGGCGAACACTTCTGTCCGATGGGTAGCGGATTATGGAGCACACCCTTTAGCAAGCGAAATATTCTTTTGGAGATGAAAATTGTAGGGGTTATTTCTGTTGTTCTGCCATACTATGTTACATTGGAAGGCGTTTCTGTAACCGGATATACACTGTTGGTAGTTTTGCTGCTCGCAGGTTCCCACTGTAATCACATACGCACCAATCCGTTGGTTTTTCCGCTAGCGGACTGCAGGCTTCTCTTCGATCATAGATACCAACTCACCCCACCGTTTGAAGTCAGCATGTTTAGCTCAAATTCATAATAAGGAAGTCATTCAGGACAATATATTAGGTAGGATTGATCATATCTAACACTGCTTCACAAGCAGATTACAGCAGACTTCGTGGAATAATGCAAACATTCCATCGCCGCAATAATACGATATCCACTTATGTGACTGATGAACGTGAACCAATCTCTTGCATCGCGAAGGCTGGCGTTGCTTTTTCGAGACAGAAGAGGGACGAATGTATCTTTCAGTATAAAAACAGAGTGCCAATTGAGCACTGACTTCATTTGTGTCGGTGCACGGTATTCAAATATCAGGAGAGTGTACCAGTTTATTAAACTAATAATTTTTCTGCTGTGGGACCCTTTCGGTGCATAGCTGCCCTACAATTCAGGGAGATCCTGAGGACTGTGGTACTGTCTCAGTGTAAACAGGTCAATCGAATGGCAGGGTTTGGTTGGAACTACGAATATTCCAGTCAGCCGATTCCCGTCTTAACTGCTGACCTATCTCCAGCTCATTAGGTGGTGATGCTACACGACTGCACCATTGCTCCTCTGCAAACCTCAAAGTCAATTTCTTTCTTCATCACAAACTGTATTGCTTGGTATGTTTTTGGAATGTATCGACCTGGAAGCAATTAGCGAAACAGGGTCAGCGTGGAATACGACTTGAACAAAGACGTGAGAACACTTAAAACACTGATATGCATATATTTCTCATTTGGTTTGGATGTTACATATACTATAATAGAACTGTTGTGTAAAGATGATTCTTCCGGTGAGGAATTTGAGGCCACGTTTGACACTTAAACTATCAAGTTCCTTAGACTTACTTTTCGACTAATTACAGTTAACTTAAAAAGACCATGCGATTCGCAATTCCCTATTGAGAACAAGTAACTGAAGATCTTCCTACTTTGTTCTGACGTATATACACATAATATGAGATGGCACTCACAATCTGACCTGTTGCTCCTGTGCTGAATGAGGACCGATTCATGAGATCGATTTATTTGGAGGACCACGTGAGTAACTTGTTATCGATCTACACCATTGCCGACCAGCGTAAACAAAGCAAGCACATGTGGATTATCGCACAACCAACAGTATTTCTATGTGAAATTACTCATCTCCGGTGTCGGAAGATGAAATCTACCAAGTGTGTGTGACCAGGCCTGCTCACAGCGCTCTATGCTACGCGTGCGCAGCCACTGTATCACGGATGTCTTGGCCACAGGAATGCGATATTCAGCGTAAGACTGGCTGTGTCCTGAGCAGGAAGGTCACAGTCCACCCGCATTTCCATGCTGAAAGCTAGGCTTTGACTTTGTGACTCAGACAGTTTATTCATCATAAATAGAAGCTTCACAGTCGTGCAGCAGCACTTGCATCTAATCGTCACCTCTACCAAATTTAGACGACTGGTAAACAGTCTGCCGACGGAATGTCCTGGTTTACCTCGCACATTGGAACATAAGATGTTACAAGCTGAGACATTGTGACAAGGGTTTTTGAAGTATAGCTTCAGCTGACCATTTGCAAAAGGTATGAAGCTCCTAAAATAGCTGAAACTTCAGCCGATCCAAGAAGTGATCCGTCCAAGCTCGGAACCTGGGTAGTGTTGATCTCAATTAATCAGGGCATTACTGGTTTCCCATTTCCAATAACTCACGTCTTTTTACATAACGAGTTATTGAACACATGATGGATTGTAGAACACCGATTAGACAGGCAAGTTAATCAGTTTCACATGTGTGGTTTTCTGGCTGGACTATCCGCACAACATGGGTCCTGCAAATCGACTGCTATTCTGTGCACCTAAACACAGGAGACATTTGTGGTAAAATGAGTTCGGAAATTCATTTTATGAGTCTGTGGACGAATACACCCGGTGCAACTCAACATCAGATGAACGATAACAGATATGACGAACCATCCTAGCTGATGAGAATGGGGATTCAAACGAATTTGTGCATAATCCATCTTTGTCCGCTTAAATACCATCCGCAAAGGATAGATTTTAGAACGAGAAGTTTCATCGTTTTGGGGAGAAGTGGAGTGAGTACCCTTGAGTTAGCCTGAGAAAATGAAAGATAAAACACCGTCCATCTGAATATCAGTTGAACATCTATTCATGTTACAACGCTTCTGTTTAATTTATCATATTACCATCATACCATGTAATATTACCATATGTATCTTAAAGACCTGTTGGAATATACTGGGTTTTCTATACAACACTCACACTAGGTTTGCTAGTTGGTAATGTTTTAAATTATGGGGGGCTAGTCAAGGTCCGTCTGCTGGATTTCTAGATTTTGAATAGAGATATGGAGGCGATTCAAGCAATTTGTTTCTCAAAAGTTAGGCACTACCTCAAATCGGATGTTTTGTTCGAGTGCTCTTATCGGCCTACTTTTTAACGTCCAGTTGTTTTGGCATTGGCTTCGCCCACACACTTTCCACTTTTCTGCCCATCAGTGCTTCAGATGGTTTAATTCATGAGCCACAAAAGAAAGCCACAGAAAAAACTCAAATTTGATGGGAAACTTGAGTCATTTAACGCAGGTAGTTTCACGGTGGTATATAACCCCACCTGGAAGTAACTGGGGTTCCAATTTTTCTCCGTTACGTGAATGAATTTTGATGTGTCCTGAGACTGTAAAGTGCTAACACTCTACAAAAAGAGTTCATCTCTCCGTATTGAAGCATACCTTAAGGGAAGTCAACCTTGTTTGCAAAATAATTTGGTTTTGCGAGAGACTCACCTGAAACCAAGCTGAATCTCTCGTTTGTGATGTAGTGCATTAGGTAGCCAACCTCTTTTAACAAATACAATCCTAATCAACTTACCAATACGTGCTACTTTTGTGAGATGGTTTGTCCCCATCCTGCTTTCTTTGCCGTTGGTTCTTTGAACGAACTTTGAAAACAATAACTGCTATGAGAACGATGGCTACCACCACGACGATAGCAATGATGACCGCAATAACTTCTGTCGACATTCCACCGGCAGTTGCTAGTTTTGCTTCTTCTCCCTGGGCAACACTCAACGGCTGCTCCTCATTTCCGTAGTTTGGTTTTGATTCAGCCGGTTCACTATCTGAGCCGGTTCCTGCATCGTTCCCGCCGACTACACCCGTATTCCATCCAGGCACACTTGGGCGCTTGTCTACAGGCAGCTCCGGAGTTTCAGGGCATATGCTCTCAACAGTGAGAGCCTGCAGTGGGAGGTCCGCCAGATCAGCTGGTGTTGAGCATTCGAAATTAGCTACCTTGCGTCTGCAATGGACGAAGAATACAAAAGTTTGCCCGATAAGTAACAACCAATGATGACAATGCTGTACGAAATGACAAAACCCGTGAACGCAGATGAATTACAAAAATTTCCAGTGACTATTGCAGTTGTTTGTGTGATTTGTTGATTTTTATTTCAACACGTGCGATTGCTTTGGTTCGCCCATCCCGATCTAGAGGCATTGGAATCGAAATTAGCTTCTATTGGAGCACATCAACTGCGATTCCTTGGTCGTGCTGGGTATCTGACACAAGACACGAGTATGCTAACTATATTTTACAAGTGCACGCTGGACCAGCCCGTTATTAACAAGGGAAAGCTTGCTTAAGTCCGAGTAAGAGGACTGGTTTACCTAATGGCCAGAACTCGTTAGCATACATGTTGGGGAAATCCTCTGGGCGTAAACTTGTTTCTTCGGCGCAATTATTCCGGTGGATTACCATTATGTAGCCATTCTTGTGACATATTTTCAATAACTATCCACCATAGGTACACCCAGAGCTTTCTTGACTTGAATGAAGAGTGCAGTTTGTACGCTGGAGAACAGAAAAAACATTACTCATTCCCACATCTTGCTGAGATTTGAGTGCGTTCATCAAAGTTCTATGCTACGTTACTGCAGCAGCGTTAAACAGGTTTTTGGTTCGGCACTGATCTGAGTATTTGTAGCTACGTGGGCGGAGGAATACAAATCGACGAAGAAATTTACGGTAGAGGAAGCCCACTTTCCCCCAGAATGTGCCGTTCCCTTTTGACTTCGCAACGGGACGGTAATTTTACAACGAGAAATCACATCACGATAGAAGTGGCAGACAACACCGAACGGTGACTTTTCACAAGATGCAAAGAAATCTTGTTGATATCCTAGTACAGAGTAAACACCATGGCCTGCAGAAATTCACTCTGACTGTTGTTTGGATTCATTTTTCATCCATTCCAGTCTATTTCGCCGAATCGCTTCCAAACCGTCTTCATCTAGGTGGTCCGACCGATTGACTGCTTGATCCAATGTTTCCTCAAGGACTTGCGCCACCTTCATAAGTTAAGCCGCCGCCAAGTTCTCAGTAACTGGTTGTTGTGCTTTTTGAGTCATTACGCATGCACCAATATACCCAGCAGAGAACCGTATAGGCATAGGACGGGATATGTCACGCATTTAGAGTAATTGGTGTAACCACTAAGTGAAACAGATCAATAGTGTGTGAGGCTTTTGTGTCAGACAATCGATTTAGGTCACTGGTGAAAAAGAATATCACTCAATGTTTTGCCGTTCAACCACAATCATACTTGACGCTTTACTTATTCACATCACTCCATTTCTGTCTGGAAGACCCGTTTAGAGCACCTCAGTCTACCGCCTTAATAAGGTAACGTGGGAGCAAAAATGTCAGATAATTAGAGAGAAGATTATATTATAGATTTCTAAGGTAAACAGCCACCTAGCCTTACAAAGTGGCTCAGTTTTATGAAACCCTATTCATTGGATCTCACAAGGGTTCTACTGCTGGGTCGCCCCTTTCTCACGCCCGTCTATCTGCACGGCAGTTGGCTTCTGGAATACGCTTCGAGAAAGTAGATTAAACTATCCGCACAGAAAACATTTTGGGAAGGTATGACCGGCGAAAGTCAGTGGACAGAAAAGTAGCAATATAAAAAATTCATTAAACAAGAAATCGATAGATACTACTCTTCGTCCATAATTCTTGAACGAGGTTTCTCCCACTGTCTTATTATTATAATTAAGTATTATTTTGCGGGTGCAGATGCACGGTGAACAGATTCATTAGTGAATCTCACATTTCATGTGAAACCGGAACTTTTTGTCTGGAATTTCCACACGTTTGCGTAGGCAGTCGTCTCTCATGCTTCCACACAGTATCAAATCTTCTAAGGTGGCCCAAAACCACGTAAAAGCTGCCTCATCAAAGCTTAGGGCGTGTCCACTGTTGAACCCATTTACCAAGGTTAGGACAGTTTTTCTGGAATGCGACTTTCAGCCAGCCGTCTCTGATGACTTAGCCGGAGGAATCGAACTGTTTGACTCCAGTAAGTTTTACTCTTTGGAAAAATCTGAGGCCTGGAGCTTCGGTCAGCCCTCATCACCCCGGGGATTCCGCGCAGATATCATGTGACATCAAACACGTCGTCTACACAGTGTTCAGGTAAGGACAGCAAAGCAACCAGACGCATTTATGAGGGAGTGATCATCGTAGCAGAGGCGCATCTCACGTTGATCACAAGCTGATCTTCTCCATTCGTGCGTTCAGCCTACTGCTAAGCATTAGGTTTGTAAAACGTGCATTTTAAGGTTGTGGACGAAGCAACTGACGAGGTCCAAAAATACTTCACACGCCGGCTTGTTCCGCACCTGACAACCATCGTGAATTAGTCATCCGACAAAGGTTAACTCAACCATAGTTTGACCGCTCCGAAATCCACGGAGCCACAATCTAGCCTATTATACACTGTAGGGTGATTCCGAAAAAAATTGTCTGTGGACTTCCTCCTTTTTATACAAAGACGCTGAGTCTTTGGAGTCAAACGAAATGCATTTCAACTCCCAATGTATGCAGTGAAATTCTTTCAATGTTATCGGTCCCCAAACCTTGAACAGGTCTGTAAAGCAAGCCCAGTGTCCCACTGTTTCCAGCTTTGCGGCTGCATGGTTAACTATCATTAAAAAGCGATAGTTGTGCCCGGCTCAGGTCTTTATAAGGCTGTATTATTTGTTTAATATCTTATTAGCTGAAGAAACGGTTCACACATTTCTTTCCTCAAAGTGGAACATTGCCATGATAACAGCTGTTCGCGCGAAGATTTATCTCGTCTGCTTGATCTTGAACCATCTGACCAGAATTCTGATCCACAAGGCAGTATTTACGCTGGAAATAAACAATAAGAGTCTTGATCCTCGTGCTAACGAGGACAAAATACACTTTCTGGATGACAGCGGGCTACCGAATTCTCTGTTTATTTAAACCCTATGCAGAAATTTGCCGACCTTCACAGGGTATGTGCAGCTTTTAGGGCTGTTAACCTGCTTCTCCTTGAGGAGCTTTGCTGCTTTAACACACGTGGAGATGCTGTAACATCGGAGGGACAACTTAATGTTCTCACACTCCTTCACATTAACCAATACGCCTTCACTCTCGAACCTCCTCATTATACAGTCCATCGTATTACAGGAACTCACTTCCCTTTGTTCAACTGATCACTGCTGGTCCTTCTGGCTTGACAGAACTTTCAGGAGCCGAGTTGCAGCACACGAAGTCCGCAGTTGCGTCGGTGCGCGCAACCCCTAACACTAATAAAGGATATTAATTTTAGGCTGGGGCAGTAAAAGTTACCTTCACTGTTTCTCCTCCATTGTTGGCAAGAGTTTTCTGAAAACGTTTATTAAGCAGTTGTTCGCGTTCTTCTCCATCATTTTGTTAACACAGTTGAAATATAGACAACATTTCTCATCCCGGGGGGGCTTTTTTTAAGACGCTTACTATTTTGTGTATTATCCCGAGGGGCTTTTTTAAGACGCTTACTATGTTTGTGTATTCTGGTGATAAGATTTTTCAGTAACAGTTAACATCAAGCGGGTGCGAACGCCTAGTCAGCAATAGTTCCCAACACCTCCCCAAGGTACTTGATCAAGTACCAAGTGAATAATGATGCAATCCATCGTTCCCATTTGCATTCGGCAAGTGTTGAAAAATGGCAACTTATCTGTTAAACCGTTGAATTATGAATGCTGTGTGGTGTTACCCTAATTAGAGTATGATTTAACCTCATCCTTTTGCGTTTTTGAAGCGCTTTCACCGAAAGACAATGCTAAGCTTTCGACGATTGAGAATTCAAGCCTACCGTATGTCTCTCAAAGCAAGCAAGTGTGTCACTGACAGTAGGAGTGTTTCGTCATTCCCATTACTCACACCTGACCTGACTAGCCTAATATCCGAACCGGTACAAGTCGGAAGCAACACTGGTATGCAGCCGGTCGCTGAATGAACGAATCGTCGCCGCAGTTACAGTAAAGAACAGATAAAACGTCTTGCCAACCCGAAGAACGTAATCTGTTAGCATACCAAAAGCACACGCGCACGGGTCATACCAAACTACCAACCTAGAGGTGAGCACTAAGTTATATTTCAGAACTAACTCGTGTGATTTATCAATTTCAATGTTCTTATAATGCACTCATCGATCGGGAGCGTTGGTGGACTTCAAAAGACAAGACAAAAAATGTGTTAGTTGGAATGAAGTGGGTGTAGGAAGCAGCCGCGTGCGTGCATGTGTGCTCACGCCACTATAATTTGACGATACCGGTTTTGCTATCTAGCGAGTGTGGTTGAAAGTCCGAGTTTAAGTCATAGGCTTAGTCATACATGAAGCAGCGACAGACAAATAATAATAATACGAATACAAAAAAGAATAATGATAAAATATATCAATGGTGTGATTACTAACCCGCCAGCAGGACGGCCAGATCGAAGTCTGATTACGCGACAGATTTGTCGAATATGATCAAATAGGATGAAAATAACATTCACTTTTTTCACCAGTGACGACGGTTAGTAAGTGCGCGAGAAGAACAAATCACTTTTGGAAGCATATTTTGTGTCAAATTTCTACATAAATCTTCTTGTGGAAGGACTGGAGATCTGAAAACCTCATACATTTCAGGTTTCAGGTTTGCAAATATCTTCACTTAAAGGAATTATTTGAAAGTGGCAGCAGAAAGTGAACACGTTTTGCGGCGTGGTACACTTTTAATAAGGCTTCTCGCTAGACTCTTAGAGGGTGTGCAATTCGTGTGTCTTACAAGAAATGATTCCTGCATAACTTGCTACCCTTATGCAGGAGATCAAAACTATTCCAGTTTTCGGCGGAAGCCTTTCATCCAAACCTGTCTTCAGTTTTGTAGTGTTTTGCAAGTTATTCGAAGTTCTTCGTAGTCCTTATCAAGGTGATTCGCTCAGAAGTTCACAGAACG